TAATGTTTGTGTAGTATTATGTTCAGCAGACTGTGTTCTTCTATTGTTGTGACTTAGATGACGTTCAGAGCACATTTTATGCCCAATTCATGCAAAACTCCACGTGATCCCAAGAGGTTCACATACTTTTTCTTGCAACTGTATATGTAGATGACCACCTTGGGTCTTCTGCCTCATCTGCTCCAGGTCCCTTGTGCCTACCTTGGTCAGGTCTCCTGTGTCTATCTTGGTCCAGTCTATTGTGTCCACCTTGGTGAGTACCATTGTACGATCAAGTACCATGGGAATGGGCATCTTACTTATATTTCTTAATTTATTTCTATGTATTCTTAAGTCCAGCTGTCAAAAATTTATTCAAATCTTTTTTTTTCAGTTCACCAGTTTTTAGATGGCGGGAATATGCTTAATTTTTCTACATTTTTTTTCTTTTTTTTTTTTTAGTTTTGGATAGAGCCATGAAGGGTGAAAACCTCTGTCATGTTTTATTGCTGTATTTCCACTGGAGAGTTTGACTCTATTATCCACGGTGACCATCATTACCAGGACATAAAGTGATGTGAGATCCGAAACAAAAAAGATATTCCAGTGGAGACACCTGTTACATCAACAGCTAAGACACCAACTGGTCAATGACTTAGAACACATCCTTCCTATTGAATTCTCATGATGGCAATTCAAGTAGTACTTTATGGGAATGGCAAGGGCATTTGATAAAGAGGTGGGTGTACAGTGGGGATCGAAAGTTTGGGCACCCCAGCTAAAAATTTGTATTAATGTGCATAAAGAAGCCAAGGAAAGATGGAAAAATCTCCAAAAGGCATCAAATTACAGATTAGACATTCTTATAATATGTCAACAAAAGTTAGATTTTATTTCCATCATTTACACTTTCAAAATAACAGAAAACAAAAAAATGGCATCTGCAAAAGTTTGGGCACCCTGCAGAGTTAATATCTTGTACTGCCCCCTTTGGCAAGTATCACAGCTTGTAAACGCTTTTTGTAGCCAGCCAAGAGTCTTTCCATTCTTGTTTGAGGTATCTTTGCCCATTCTTCCTTAAAAAGTCTTCCAGTTCTTTGAGATTTCTGGGCTGTCTGTCACGCACTGCTCTTTTAAGGTCTATCCATAGATTTTCAATGATGTTGAGGTCAGGAGATTGTGAAGGCCATGGCAAAACCTTCAGTTTACGCCTCTTGATGTAATCCCCCGTGGATTTCGAGGTGTGTTTAGGATCATTATCCATTTGTAGAAGCCATCCTCTCTTTAACGTCACCTTTTTCACAGATGGCATCAAGTTACCATCCAAAATTTGCTGAAATTTTATTGAATCCATTTTTTCTTCTACTCGTGAGATGTTCCCTGTGCCACTGGCTGCAACACAACCCAAAGCATGATTGATCCAACCCCATGCTTAACAGTTGGACAGAGGTTCTTTTCATTAAATTCTGTGCCCCTTCTTCTCCAAACGTACCTTTGCTCATTCCGGCCAAAAAGTTCAATTTTAACCTCATCGGTCCACAGAACTTGTTTCCAAAATGCATCAGGCTTGTCTATATGTTCATTTGCAAAGTTCAAACGATGATTTTTGTGGTGAGGATGTAGAAGAGGTTTTCTTCTGATGACTCTTCCATGAAGACCATATTTGTACAAGTATCTCTTTATAGTGGAATAGTGTACCACAACTCCAGTGTCTGCCAGATCTTTCTGGAGGGATCGTGCAGTCAAACGTGGGTTTTCAATTGTTTTTTTCTCACAATCCTGCGAGCTGTTCTGTCTGATATTTTTCTTGGTCTTCCAGATGTTGCTTTAACTTCCACTGTTCCTGATGACTGCCATTTCTTAATTACATTCTGAACAGAGGATACTGACATCTGAAAACACTTTGCTATCTTCTTATAGCCTTCTCCAGCTTTGTGAGCGTCAACTATTTTCAGTTTCAGTTTTCTAGACAACTGCTTAGAAGAACCCATGGTGCTGATTGTTGAGGCAAGGTCAGATGAGTCTGGGCATTTAAAACCTTTGAGATTGACATCACCTGGTCTTCCCAGACGATGATTGAGAACAATCCATGACACTGGCAGGTCTCAGCTTGGCAAAGGGGGCAGTGCATGCTATAAATTCTGCAGGGTGTCCAAACTTTTGCAGACGCCATTTTTTTGTTTTCTGTTATTTTGAAAGTGTAAATGATGGAAATAAAATCTAACTTTTGTTGACATATTATAAGAATGTCTAATCTGTAATTTGATGCCTTTTGGAGATTTTTCCATCTTTCCTTGTCTTTTTATGCACATTAATACAAATTTTTAGCTGGGGTGCCCAAACTTTTGATCCCCACTGTATGTGCACAGGGCCATGTATGAGGGGGTACCACCAGTCCTCCTGTACTGGACCAAGGCCAGTGAAAGTGGGGGGACTTGGGGGGGGAGGGACTTGGCAGCTAGTTGAATCAAATGTTGGCAGAATAGGTGTTTTTTTTTCTCCTCTTCCTCTGGCTTTCAGCTGCTGCAGAGAGAGAGCCATACAGAGGCTCGGTTCCAGTAATTGCCCCCCTGACCACACCCATCACCCTCCCTGTGCACCATACATTTCCCCCTGCTGCCCAGGCTCCCTTGTGTGCCTCCACCCCCTCAGTGCTTCCGGCTTCCCTTTTCTCCTTTCCACCAGCATCTGCAAGCACACAATAGATAGGATCCTACAGGATGGAGAGTGGGGGAAGGGTCTGATAAATATGTCATATTTACCAGCACCTTCCTTTCTTGAATGAACACAATGAATGATTGGTAACAAGCACTCTGTTCATTCATAACTGAAGCTTTTTTTTATTTTTGTGGAGGGGCCCTGTCAGGTTTGTTGTGTGGGGCCCCGTGGTTTCTAACAGCAGCCCTGTATGTGCATAAATTTAATAATAGTGATTTTTTTTTTCTCCTCTAGATAAGTTGTATTTGGAAAATGAAAGAGCTGCAGGTTTTTGGCCTACTTTTACTCCACATGGTTTTAGTGACACTAAGCATGCAGATAGGTTCAGAAGTGGAAGCGTTTAGTGCCGAGCACACCCAGGACAGGGAAATAAGCAAATGATCGACCAGTAGGTATAGAGCTGCTGGAAAAGATGGAGAGATAGGAGAACAGGGTATAAATGCATACATCGTAAAGGGACTGTGGAATAGTTTGGATTAATTTTTTTTACATCAAAATGGTTTTATATTTATATATTATATGCTCTTTACATAAAATGCAGGGGTGAACCTACAGGGGTCGCAATTGCAACCTGGTCCCATATTCCAGGGGGCCTGTTCGGCCCCCATGTACACCTGGACAGGAGCGACGGCATGTAGAGGAACAGATGCCCTCCATATTCCTCCTGCAAACGCTGAAAACGGAGGGGATGGGTTCCTCTACATGCCACCCCCACCGCCCCTCCTATCTAGGTCCTGCTACCCAGGGCCCCTGTGATCATCTGGTCACCCCCCCCACACCCTCCACAGTGCTGCCAGTTCCCCCTTCCCTTCTCATGCCAGCTGCTGCAGGGGATGCTGTCAGGATGGAGTCAAGGAAGGGGCCGGTAAACATGTCATTTACTGGCCCCTTCCTTGTCTGAAGGATCTGTATCGATCACAGACTCTGCCCAATTAAAACAGAAGCATGGTAAACTGTGTTTACTATGCTTCAGTATGTGACTGAATGGAAAGCTGTGTACAGAGCTATTCCTGTTCATTCATTCTGTGCAGTTGAGGCTGCAGAGATGGAGATTGAGGACTGTGTCCTCAACCTCCTTTCTCTGTCTCAAAGATGGAACACCAGAGGTCTGTGTAGACCTCTGATATCTCACCAAAACCCCCAAATGGGGCTTCTAACAAAAAAAATGTAAAAAAATAATAAAGAATAAAATTGTAAGAAAAAAAAAAATCAAATACAAATGGTATAAAATAATTAAAAAACTACTGGAACCAGTGGCCGAACCGTCAGGGTTGAAAATGTCGCACTTGAGACCGAGCCCTGGAGTTCTGCCACCGTGCGGGGTGGCCCAAGTCGGCAGGATGAGGGCCCACTGTGGAACATGTGAAAGACTCCTGCTACAGGATAGTAAAAAAGGCCCCCCTCGATGGGGGTAATGGGGGGCCAGGGGAGCCCTTCATGGTTTCTTACGTCAAAGAGGATGAATGATGTGATTGTATCTGGATGGATTTTGAGGGTTGGGCAGCCTGAAGGTTTTTTACCTTCATGTATTGTATGCATGCAGGTAAAAAAAACTTCAGTGTGCAGCTCAGCCTACAGCCCCCCTTATACTTACCTAAGCCCAATCTCGATCCAGTGATGTGCACTAGAGAAGTGGCTCTAGCGGCTCTCTCACTCCTCATTGGCTCAGACACTGCCAGTTAGGAGGGAGGGAGTGATGCTGAGCCCCGCTCTGCGGGTCAATGGACACACAAGTCCCCACATAGCAAAAGGTTTGCTCTGGGGGCACTCAGCAAGGAGGAGAGGCCAGGAGTGCTGGCAATGAACCTGAGAAGAGGAGGATCAGGGCTGCTCTGTGCAAAATAATAGGACAGAGTGGGAAAGTGTGACATGTTTGTTATTTTTGAAAAATAAAAAGTAAGACTTTAATATCACTTAAAATTAATGGAGAGCTCCAAAGGGGATGGTTGTAGGGGCGATAATGGGGGGGCAAGTGAGTCTAGACTTTAAAAAAGGATGCCTAGGGTCACATCACTTTCATACTGTGCTAAATTGTATTCTATAATTAAACAAGAACGATTGGACTCATTAAATTACCAGGTACACGAAGATGACGAGGAATCCCGGGACTACCAGGAGAATGCATATACTCAAGTAGGAAGCACTTTGTTCAAGAATTTTTGCTTTAAATTATATATTTAAAATCTGGTCTCTAACTAGTATATGATTTTAATGATTAAATTGAAGCTCAACAGCTTTTCTTTTTATGAGGAGGTGAGCAAAACCTTGGACAGAGTGGTGGTGGTATACTTGGACAGAGGGGTGGCGGTGCACGTGGTATACTTGAACAGAGGGGTGGTGATGGAGGTGGTATACTTGGACAGGGGTGGCAATGGACGTAGTATACTTGGACAGAGGGGTGGCGGTGGACGTGGTATACTTGGACAGAGGGGTGGCTGTGGACGTGGTATACTTGGACAGAGGGGTGGCTGTGGACGTGGTATACTTGGACAGAGGGGTGGCTGTGGACGTGGTATAGTTGGACAGAGGGGTGGCGGTGGACATGGTATACTTGGACAGAGGGGTGGCAGTGGACGTGGTATACTTGGACAGAGGGGTGGCGGTGGACGTGGTATACTTGGACAGAGGGGTGGCGGGATATGATCTCCATGTATAATACATAAGGGGGGATATGATCTCCATGTATAATACATAAGGGGGGATATGATCTCCATGTATAATACATAAGGGGGGATATGATCACCATGTTTAATACATAAGGGGGGATATAATCTCTATGTATAATACATAAGGGGGGATATGATCACCATGTTTAATACAAAAGGGGGGATATGATCACCATGTATAATACATAGGGGATATGATCTTCATGTATAATACAGAAGGGGGGATATGACAACCATGTATAATACATAAGGGGGATATGAGCACATGTATAATACATAAGGGGATATGATCACCATGTTTAATACATAAGGGAGGATATGATTACCATGTTTAATACATAAGGGGGGGGATACAATCTCCATATATAATACATAAGGGGGGGATATGATCACCATGTATGATAAATAAGGGGGGATATGATCACCATGTACAATACATAAGGGGAGATATGATCACCATGTATAATACATAAGGGGGTATTTGATCACCATGTATAATACATAAGGGGGGATATGATCTCCATGTACAATACATAAGGGGGGATATGATCTCCATGTATAATACATAAGGGGGGATATGATCACCATGTATAAATACATAAGGGGGATATGATCACCATGTATAATACATAAGGGGGGATATGATCTCCATGTATAATACATAAGGGGGGGGGTATGATCTTCATGTATAATACATAAGGGGGGATATGATCTCCATGTATAATACATAAGGGGGGATATGATCTTCATGTATAATACATAAGGGGGGATATGATCTCCATGTATAATACATAAGAGGGGTATGATCTCCATGTATAATACATAAGGGGGGATATGATCTCCATGTATAATACATAAGGGGGATATGATCTCCATGTATAATACATAAGGGAGGATATGATCACCATGCTTAATACATAAGGGGGGGATACAATCTCCATATATAATACATAAGGGGGGGGGATATGATCACCATGTATAATACATAAGGGGGATATGATCTCTGTGTATAATACATAAGGGGGGATATGATCTTCATGTATAATATATAAGGGGGGATATGATCACCATGTATAATACATAAGGGGGGGTATGATCACCATGTATAATACATAAGGGGGGATATGATCTCCATGTATAATACATAAGGGGGGATATGATCTCCATGTATAATACATAAGGGGGGATATGATCTCCATGTGTAATACATAAGGGAGGATATGATCACCATGTATAATACATAAGGGGGATATGATCACCATGTATAATACATAAGGGGGGATATGATCACCATGTATAATACATAAGGGGGATATGATCACCATGTATAATACATAAGGGGGGATATGATCACCATGTATAATACATAAGGGGGATATGATCACCATGTATAATACATAAGGGCGGTATGAACTCCATGTATAATACATAAGGGGGGATATGATCACCATGTATAATACATAAGGGGGGATATGATCACCATGTATAATACATAAGGGGGGGTATGATCACCATGTATAATACATAAGGGGGATATGATCTCCATGTATAATACATAAGGGGGGACATGATCACCATGTATAATACAAGGGGGATATGATCTCCATGTATAATACATAAGGGGGGATATGATCACCATGTATAATACATAAGGGGAGATATGATCACCATGTATATTACATAAGGGGGGATATGACCACCATGTATAATACATAAGGGGGGATATGACCACCATGTATAATACATAAGGGCGATATGATCACCATGTATAATACATAAGGGGGGATATGATCTCCATGTATAATACATAAGGGGGGATATGATCTCCATGTATAATACATAAGGGGGGGGATATGATCACCATGTATAATACATAAGGGGGGATATGATCACCATTAGAGATGAGCGAATCGAAGCATCCGAAGTGGAATTCGAGTCGAATATCGGAAAAATTTCGATTCGTGCCGAATCCGAAAAACAGCCTAATTCGGACGCGCGAATCGAAATTTTTCCGAAAATGGCGGCTGACATGTGCGGCGACGGAGCGGGGATGTCGGGGAAGGCGCGCAGACAAGGCGCGCTGCCCCA